ATAGGTTTTTGGGTAGTAGTAGGTGATTGGATAGAGGATGCCACAGTGCAGCACATAGGTGTTGGGTCATTGGGTCACTAAGAAAAATAATTTACTTGGAATCTGTTAATTGGGTAAACAGACATATAAAAGACCTTGAAGAGCTTTGTTAGCCATTTTGCGCCTTTCTATCTTAGTGCACATAGCTCCTTGTACCTTGCATATATGTAATGCAGATAAGAGAAGAATAAACAACCAAGTCCGAACAAGAGAAAAAACTGCCTCCTTCTCATCAATTTCAGTTCAAGGGGAGAAAGAACCTAACCACGAGTGTCCTATAGAGGCAGTTGGTATGTTCTTGTTTCCCCCCGTTGATTATATTGGTATGGTCCCAGTTGTCAGTTATGTAAACCCCTCCTGTTTTTCTTGAATGTTTCCTGTCAGTCACCTTAGTTCTGCCCTTACTCCCTCTCCATCATGGTAAACCCCACCCCTTCTTCCAGACCCTTTTGTCCATCATTCCTCCCTCATTCTGCCTCACTGATTTTATCTCCTGTTCCCACCTTCCTTGCACCCCTATTGGCCCTGAAAATGTAATCTCCTTCTCTCACTCCTCCCCCTGAGAGTTCCCATTGGTTCCTGATCTGTACCCTCCCTGAGAGCCTTGTGCATAGAACCCTGTGCACAGAGGTGCTTGGGGCTCTTTTCGGTCCTGAACCCTTCCAGTCCAGACCTCTGTCCCTTTCCTCAATAAATTTGTTCCTGGGAACCTCAGCCAAGAGAGTCTCCTCCATCTTTTTACTACAACCCATGATGCCTTGATCAGCAGAGCTCAGAGAGAGCCGGTGCTCTGAAGGTTCTGCAGTGGGGTCGCTTTTCCCCTGCAGTTCCCCCCTCCTGGCGTCTGTCCATGCCGGAGTGGCACCGTAGAGCTAGCCCAGAGCTCTGGTGCGGCCAAGCAGCATCAGTGGCAGGGATAGATGGTGATCTAGCTTCAACGGATTACCTGGGAAGCATCAACTTAAGGCCTTGGGAAATAGAACACTGAGATGGGACACACTTAGATAAGTTAGGGAAAGAAGAATGGAATCATGGGAATTGTTCTGTAGATAAGGTTACTGTACATATGGTTATGCTTCTAGTTCCTGTCCATGATTGGTAGATAGCATGTTATATATAAGGTAACGTTTCTTATTCTCACTGATAATTGGTCCCCTGCTCTCAGATTGTACCCTATATATTGCTATGCTTATCTTGTTACTGGGTTTTTGGAGATTGACCAATACTGGGTACGGATTTTCTTTTGTTTACTCCTTTGTTAAAGTTCTTTTCTGGGCTACTCCATCGTCCCCTTCCCTATTTAGTTTTGTCACTACCGGCTGATCTGGTTCTGAGGTCACATTGTGGACACGACACGTACACATAATACACATCCGTTAATTGTGAGAGCCAACCATTGCTCCATTTATAACACCATCAAGGCCTGGAGAGGAGCTGAGTGCTTCCTAAGGTGGGCAGGGGGCCAGATTCTTTCGTGAGGCACACGAGGTTATTTTGGGGTCTCTCAAAAGGATTCCCTGTGAAGCACTGGGGATATTTTGAGGTCTCTGCCAAGGTGTGCAGAGATTCCTCATGAGGCACAAAGGAATATTTATGGTTTCTCCTAAGATGTGCAAAGACCCTTCATGAGATGTACAGTGGGGTTAAACTAGAGGGGTTTGTTAGTCTTTTCAGCATAGTAAAGAGACACTCTCAGTCAAGGTTGTGCAAAGCTGGCAGGAAGCTTCCTGCAAAGCCTTGTAGGTCTTTGAAGCCACCCTGCTCTTGTCAGGCCCAGCAGCTGGGCCAGGCCGTGTCAGACAGGGCTGCTGAGCAGTGCCTGAGGCACAACAAGGGCCTCACTAAGAAGGGCCTCACTAAGCCCTGGCCCTGCACTGCAGACAAACACACATTTACAGCCACAGCCACTCCCTGAGCCACTGAAGGCACCCGGGGTTACATCTCAGGCAGTGGCTTCTCTGCCACTGAGGACCTCCTTGCAGTGCCTCTTTCCTTAAACAGGATGGGGAGCCCAGCACACCATGAAAACGCTTCTGATCTGTGCTCCTGTCTAGACTGGCATTGAGATATGGATTGACTGTAAGTTCCAGTCAATCACAGTGTGAAGATCATGGCACATGCTGGAGGCAACTTCTCAATGTCTCTTTCCTGACAGAATAATCACTAATAATTAATCGTGGCCAAGAGCAGCCCCAGGAGCAGCAGGCAGAGGCAAAGCAAGGTAGGCAGGAGAAAGAGTGGGAGACGCAATTGGCCTTGAAAGGCAAACATGCTCTGTGGCCTGCTCCTGGCCCGGGACCCTGCCAAGAGCCATCCCCTGCTCACTGGGGACTTGAGGGTGTGAAAACCAGAGTCCACTCTTTACAAGTTTTAAGTTTAATAAGGGATAAAAGAGGGACAAAGAATTAATCCACAGCTGGGGTGCTTTTGCCAAACAAAGAGCACTGAGGTAGCTTAAAATCTTATTCCCTACATATGGTTACATTGCTGTGGTTACATGCATATTCATTATCTTATAGATTTTTCAAATATTCCTTTAAGCTTTTGATGTTCTAGGAACTCTCTTGTTTGGTTTAAACCTCTGACTTGTCTGCAGGACATTCTGTAAATTAGGTCCATATGTTTTATTTCTTCCTGTAGTTTTATCCTATTGGATCACACTGCCTCATAGTGCCAATAGATGTAATAAATCCTTCCCAGATGCTTATGCTCTGTTTCTTGTCACTGTTATCACTTGGAGAGGCCAATCTGCAGATGTAAGAAACAGAATAATTGATTTACACCATTCTCTTAGTTACATAGAAGTATTTTAGTCTCTATTTTAATATTTTGCTAAGGCCTAAAATATAATATATTTTGACACTACTATTCATATGAACTATACAGTGAATACATAAACTGAGAGATTAGAAAAACCTTATAAAAGTAAGTATAAGTTGTACTATATCAAAATGCTTGTGATGCAAAAACCTAATCTGTGAATGACAATATTGTTTTGTCAGCTATAACAAGGAACAGCTGTCCAGCTGGGCCAAGGTGTGCCAGGGTTCCAGCTGATGGGAAGCCTTGGCAGCTCTGGGCCCTGCTGTGCAGAGGGTCCCTGTGTGCCAGCGGCAGCTGGGGGCCTCAGACACCTTCCCTCTCAATAGGTGCCCCTCTGCAGCTTCACAAGTCCAGCCAAACACCTCAGTCAGGGACACCTGTACCACACATTTCACATCTCCATGCCCATATGTGATGTCCCTGTCGCAGCTGCATTACCAGCTTGCTGCTGGGCAGATGCTGCCACCACCCAAAGCAAGGCTCTGTGTCCCTGAAGGGACCCGCCCTGCTCTGTGGCCTGGACTGAAGGTGGGTCCCTCCTGCCAGGGCAGGGCCCAGCACAGCTCTTCGGTTCCAATAAAGAGATGGAGCTTTCACCCCAATGTCTGGCTAGTACCCCCAGCAAAGCCCACACAGCACCAGCCCTGGCAGAGCTCTATGTCCAGGAGCAGGTGGGGCTGACCACGGTGTGGGCAGGCAGGAGCCAGGAAGGGGCTGCTGTGACCAGTGGCAGGGCACTGAGGGGCTGGTGTGAAGGGCCATGTTGAGTGGCCCTGCGTTGAGGGCACATTTCCTACCGTGGCATCACCTGGGCCTGGACCTCCTCCAGTGGCATGCCCAGGGAAAGAGGCAGCCATCAAGAGCATCTCCTGGGATGCATTGCCTGACCAGCAATGTCAGCAGGCAAAACCAAGATTTTATTTAGCAATGACCCTTTGATAAAGTCAAAAATTTACAGTCAGGGCAGTCCACTAGTACAGATGTGTTGAAAGACCCCCGAGCTGTTCACCAGTCTTCACAGAAGTAATTGTAAATGCCATTTATTTCTATCTTTAGCACACCTTTTATAGGGTTCTACAGGGTCTGCGGGCAGAGCAAGTTACTATTGGCTAACACACACAGGTTTACATTCTTATCCTTGTACACAAGGATATTGTTTTGCTTTACTCTCTCTTCTGCAGGCAAGTTTCAAGGATTTTAGCCCTTAATATCACGACTTATTTCAAAGGCTGGTTTGTGCATACAGGCCTTTACTAATATATAAAATATAGCAACAATTCCCCCTTTCTCTTTTTGCACAAACCAGGCTTTGGATAAGATATCATACCACTTAGACTGTCATCCCAATTAACATTATAAGTAAAGCCTGTCCCCCTTCTAGCACAAGAGACCTCAACCATCCGGTGATGCCCCAGCTGGCGAACCAGCTTCCAGTGGGGTCACTATCTTCCTCCAGGGCATGTAACCCATCCTGTAGCTGTTGCAGTTGCTTATGGATGGAAGCTGAATGATCAGTAAGATCCAAGCAGCACATGCCTTCAAACTCCCCACAACCACGTCCCTGTGCCAAGAGCAAAAGGTCCATTGCAGCTCGATTTCATAATATTGCATGACATACACTACTCACATCGGCTGAAAGCTCACTTAACATTGTGGATGTTAAGTTCAATCCTTCCTTAGTCCAGCAAGCGAGCCTTTTTAGGGTGGCTAAACTTTAATTCATTCAGGCTTCGCTTTGACTGTTTGATGTTTTTCATTTTGCTAGCTATATTCAACAATTGATGTAAGCTTGGGTGGAACAAAGTTAAGTTGCCCAAGATAACAGGGTCCTCTATGTGGACTAGCAGGAATCCTATTCCATGCCCTATCCCCACAGATTAGGAAGATGGAACTAGGTAATCGCTTTGGTAATTGTCCTGTGAGATTGCACCACAAACAAAGGCTTTACTTTCTATGGTAGTAACGAGATCAGCTATAGGGTTGACTGCAGCTCAGGGCTACATTACTTTGTTAGAATGACTTTTTGTCGGGGGTTCAAACATTATCCATCCACCTGAGGTATTGGTGGAACTTAACAAATCTAATTCTTCTGAGGGTTGTAACATTGAGAACTTTGGTAATTTTTTGCTTGCCAACAGGCTTCAAGTTGTCTTAATGTGAAGCCAACAGTGCAATTGCACTCTTGCAACATTGCCAATCGATTCAGTTGAGTCTCATTACTAATTAAATCTTTAAATGCTGGAGGATCCCATTCAGGGACTCCTACGAGACAGGTGCGAAAGGATCTCCAGGTGTGGCTAGGCTTAGACACATTGACTTTTGGCCAGTTCAATGTGCCAGTGACCCACATGTTCTGCCTCTTTTGGATGTTAGTTAGCAGACCGTTGGTTGGGACTATACACAACACAATTACCATAAGCAGTTTGTTCCATGCAAATGACACCATATTTGCAAACTTACAGCTAAAACTCCAATCGTTAAATGAACTTTCAAAGATGCTTACACTAGCTCTTGAAGGGGGAATACTTATACTTTATCCTAACATAACAATTACTACACAGGCTAAACTCTTTATCTTAACCTATTATATAACTACTTTTAACACACGTGCTTTGGTATATATGTAGTCTAAGCGTGAAAGCAATTTGCTGAAAGGGTAAACACACAACTACAATTTGCTTTATATACAGTTAAATGGAGTCTCTACACTTCTTAGATCTTCTACAGAATTTCTCTAACACGATTCAGTCCTGGAACTTTCACTGCTCCCGTGATGTCAGCTGGCAGCTGATGGGTGACTGAGGGTTCTGATGTTCAAGTTGTTCTTCAGATCCTTCTAAATCTTAAAACAAAGGATACCTGAAAAATTGGTAGAGACATAACATCATAGTAACGACATAAAAGTTCTGTTGGCAACTGTCTGTGTAGTGTTCAGACACAACTGTGTCCTGACAGGTCCACTTCTGATCCATGTCTGGAGTACCAAGGCTGTGTGGTGACTTCTCTGTTCACTGGATCTCGTGTGTTCAGAGGCACACAGTCTGGTCAGATGGACAGGTGACCTTTTTGAACCTGCCAACAAAACACAGGCACTTCTCTCCTTGAAGTTAATGAATTACACTAATCAAATGTTTTTAGGGCATCCATTTCCCCTGTTTTCTTAAAAAAAAATAAAATGAGATGTACTACTGTTATAAACATCAACAGCAACACAAAACCATATACACAATTAATAAGAACTTATACCAGTTAAAAATCAATTAAATCA